TATATATATATAATATATATATATGTGAAACTAGAAATGGAAAATTAATGACAGTAACATGTATGATTAAGCCACTATGCAGTATATTTTGGATAGGAAATCACATTTTGTATGCTGTGACAATGCTCAGGGAATGAATGTAATTATCAGAAGAAAATTATAGGGCACTTGTAACTAGATTCTAGCTTTGTTCATAGTTTCAATTTAACATATTTTGTAAATCAATAAAATGTGGAAAAAAAGGATAAACCACACACAAAAAAAGTGAGTTCTATTTGAGAGGATACAAGTAAGTAATAAGCCCTAGTACACCTGTATGAACATCTCTGAAGTCAGCTTAAACCTCAGCTTTCAACTATGATCAGATTAGCTGAAATTGTCAAATACATGACAAGAAAAGTGAAATGAGCTATTACACACACACACACACACATGCACGCACGTGTGCACGGACAACCGCACATCTGTCTATACGCATGCATGTATATATCAAAGATTATCCAAAAAGGTCCCATTTCCATGATGGAAGGATGGAAGGATGAAGGAAGGACTTAAAATAAGAAACATTCCCAACAAAACAAGGAACACAGCAAAGGTTTCTAAATTCTTTCATATGTTTTATTTCTGGTCTTCTTCATTAAAAAGCTGACTTTTGGTCAGCCAACTCCATAAGCTGGTGGTTAAGGAAGCCTGATATGGCCATCTGAACAGTTCAACTCTCAGAAACGGTGCCTTGAAAAGCACACTGGGTGGGACAGCAGATGGCATAATGGTTACGTAGCTGGATTCCCATATAGCTGACTGTAGTTTGAGCCCTAGACCTGGTGGCTTGAAACTCATGCTGGGTACGTGTGTGTGTGTGTGTGTGTATGTGTGTGTCCAAAATCCTGAGAGGAGAATGGAGAACGGACTGCGGTGTGGCCGTCCTCCCTGGAGAGTGATTTCTCACTTTCTGTCTCTCTCTGTCTTTCTAATGAACACATGAACCCTACAAAAAAATCTCTCTTAGTAAAAGAAAAACACTCTGGGCACATGTGTGGGAGTGCCTGTCTAAAATCTTGAAAAGAAGAAGGGAGAAGAAGGGCTTGCAGTGTGACCACATCCCACTAGAGGGGGAGGTGCTTTCTCCCCCCTCCCTCTGTCTTTCTGACCCTTTCTGACAAGCACACATGCTCTCTGCCAAAAATTTAAAAAACAGACTAAAAAATGAAAATCATGGCTTTTTGAATTGTTAAAACCATATATTAAGTATAACCTTTCAAATACTTTATAAAAGTGAAACCAAGTCTTTACCATAAAGCTACCCAAATCCAAAACAATACATCTTGGGTCAGCAGGCAGCACGGAGGCTAAGGTGCTGGTTCCCACCCAGTCAACTGTGTGCTCAAGTCCCAGACCTGGCAGCTGGAGAAACACTCTGGGTGCGTGTGCTTGTGTGCCCATGTGCCCAAAATCCTGGGAGAAGAATGACGAAGATATGGCGGTGTGACTACCATCCCACAGGGTGATTTCTTACTTTCCCTCCCTCCCTCTCTCTCACCCTCTCTCTCTCCAGCAAGTGCACATAAACATAGCAAAACTAAAATATCAAAACAAAACAAAAAATTACATCTAAACACTTAAATAGCAGCTAACTAAGATCCAAAGCCCTAGGTAAACAGCATGTTTTACCATGTTGGAGAAACTCACGCATATTTTTCAAGGTCACCAGAGTTGGAGACAAATACTAAAATACCAGCATCCTCTATGAGCACAATCGAGTGAAGAGCCACAGCCAAGAAAACCTAATTTTTTCATGTGTAGTTATACAAAATTTTATAAATTAAAATGTTTATAACAGAACTAGATAATCCATCATATTTTCTATGCAAGAAAAGCATTTTCTCTTTCTAGTTTGTTTTGTGCCAAATTTCAAATCCCCAAATACCAATGTGTAACTCTAGATAGTGTTTTGTAAATCACTGTGTAAAGACATTTTGTTGGTCTTCTTAGACATAATGCACTGAACTTTTGGTACTGTATATCATGTGAACGATTTATCAATTTATATGATATTATATGTTGTTATCAGTTTATATATTTGTCCACTTACTATTCAGTTTACACCATGGGAGAAAATGTTTAAAAGTTTGCGATAGCCCATGTCATATTCTTTTGGGGAAGACACAGAAAGCAGAGGGGGATTAGAGTAGCCATCTCACCACCACTTGTACTCCCCAATTTTCAGGTAGCAGTCTCATTCTCAAACATTATTTCTAATGACTAAGTACAAAAAGCTATACAATAAACTGAATAAGCCTGTATCACTATTTCAAAATGATTCTTGTGGGACCAGCAGATGCATAATGGTTATGTCTCCGGACTCCCATGTAGTCAACCACAGTTCAAGTCCTGGACCTGGTGGCTTGCTTTCTTATGTTCTCTCTTTCTCTCTCTATCCCTCTCTGGTTAAATTAAAATAAATAAATGGGTAAATCAAGTTAAATAAAATAATTCTTTTAAAGAAACAAAATGATTTTTGTGCCTATTTTCAACTGTTTACCAAGTCCAGTACAGAAATGACTGATAACCACCTCCTTTCAGTATACTAAACTTGGAAACCCAAGCTTGAGTCTTCCATCTTTCATATCTGATCAAGGGTGAGTAGTTGTGGGGGGCTGGGATCCGAGTAGAACACTCAGAGCAGAGGAAAGAAAAAGAAAAAAAACATGCAAAATATCAAGAGTACACCATGGGAAAAGTCTACAGACTGCATTTCTTTCTTTTTTTATTTCTTTGGAGGGATTTTTGCTATCGGGCATGTGTGCTTGCAGGAGAGAAAGAGAGACAGAAAGCAAAAAATCACCCCCCCCAGGAGGGAAATGGATATGCCACAATCCCTTACCCTCCATTCTCCACTAAGGATCTTAGACATGCATGCACACAGGTCTGTCCTGAGTTTTAAGCTGCTGGGTCCGGGACTTGAACCACAGTTGACTATGTGGGAGTCCAGCGACATCACCATTATGCCATCTGCTGATCCCGCAGCCTGTATTTAAATAACTGCTTTATAAGGCTTTTTCCTAGAATTAATTTGATCAATTTACTCAGTCTCATCTCACTCCTAACTATGATTACACATTTCAAAACTAAATTACAGGGCCAGCCCTGAACCGTAATGATTAAGAGCTGGGCATTGGGAGCTGGTTCTCGCATAGCCAACTGTGGCATGAATTCCGGCTCTGGTGCCTTGAAAACCATGCTAGGGGCATGTGCGTGTGTGCCCCAAATCCTGACAGATTGGAGAAAGGGAGGAAAGTGGACTGAGGCGTGACCACATCCCACTGGGAAGTGCTTTCTCTGTTTCTCTCTCTCTCTCTCTCTCTCTCTCTCTCTGGCAAGCACATACACTACACTCTCTGGTAATTAAAAAATAAAAGTAAATTGTAGGACCATCTGTGGTGGTGCAATGGTAACACTATACTCTGTGATGCTAAGGCCACATGGGAAGGTCCTAGGTTCACATCTCGCAACATCCCTGTACTCGCGGGCATTGACTGAGGCTGGAGATGGACTGTGGTGTGAAGAAAGTGAACTGTAATGTTTTCTTGAAACCTGATCAATGATATTAGATGCAAAGTCAATTTCTAACATTCATTTATTCAATTAATACCAAGGACCTAGTAAAGACATGATGCCATGCTGGGAAGTGTAAGGAGCATGGCCAATTACTTCATACGAATATTCTTACCTTCAGCTGAAATCCAGTTTCATTCACAGTCTCTTTCCAGTTACCTTCCTAAAAACAAAGTTAATTTTAGAAATCATTACTGCAAAACAACCCATAAAGAATACGCCAAACAAAATAAGTTAAATATATCATTCAGCTCTATGTCAGGAGAGATGGGAGAAAGAAGTTAAAAAAAATTTTTTTTTTTACTTCAAAATTAAACATACAATCCAGATTCCAAAAGACTACTACTTTATAGATCTGGGATTCAAAACAAAGGAAACTAATTTTGATATTAATTAATATCAAAAAGTACCATCTCTGGAATCTTTATGTATAAAAATGTGTGCCAAAAGAATGATGTAATCCAATAATGTCACATTAAAAAAAAAATGTAAAAACCCAAAGGAAGACCAGCAAATAGTGTAATAGTTACTACGTCCGGACTCCCACAGAGTCAACCGCAGTTTAAGTCCTAGACCCAGCAGCTTAAAACTCACACTGGGCACATGCATGTGTATGACTAAGATCCCAAGAGAATGGAGGAGAAAAGATTATGGCAAGGCCATCTCCCATGGGGGACGATTTCTCGCTTTCTCCCTGTCTCTCTCTGCCTCTCCAGAGAGTGCACATGCCCTACAGCAAAAATCTCTCTTTAAAAAAAAAAATCATGGGACCAGTACTTAGCGTGATGGCTATGTCACGGGACTCCCTTGTAGCCGACTGCAGTTCAAGTCCTGGGCCCAGTGGCTTAAACTCAACCGGGCACATGTGCATGCATGCCCAAGATCCTGAGAGGAGAATGGAGGAGAAGGGACTGCAGCATGGCCATCCCCCCTGGGGTGTGATTTCTCCCTTTCTGTCTCTTTGTCTCTCTCTGTCCTTCTGGTGAGCACATGTGCCCTATAGCAAAATCCTCTCCAAAAAAAAAAAAAAAAAAAAAGACACAAGAACTGTATGCAAATTAATAAAGCTGGTCCAAAAACATCTTTAAAAACATAAGCATTCTAAATCCTTTTGCGGTTCCTACATGTAACGCTATGGCTTGGATAAGGGTTGCCCCTAAAGGCTCATGTGCTGGAATTTGGGTTCCCATGTAACAGTGGTAAGAGGTGGTGGAACTTCAGGAGGTGAGGTTTGTGTTTGGAGCACAAAGACATCACCCCATGAAGAGACTAATGCTGTCTCACAGGAGGGAGAGAGTTCTGTCTCTCAGGAGCAGGTTATTTCTAAAGATAGCGGATTGTTATAAAAGCACATGGCTGCCCAACTGGTGCTGTCTCCTTGCATCTACCTGCTGACCCCCTGTTCCGTCACCCAGTATCCAGCATCAGGGATTTCTGTTTAGCAACACAAGAATGGACTGAGTATATGAAGATTCTGTTTTCACACCGCTGTGTAAGGTGTGCCTTGTGATAACTTTGGCACATTACCTATCTGACTTGAAAAAATAAGAGGCATTCAATAAGAGAAAAAAAAAATTAAAAAAACCCCAAGTCAAATGAATACTTTTAAAAGAGAAAAATACCTGTGTTAAAAACAAATAGAAGATTTTGTCTCTACAAAGGATGGGATGTGAAGCAACTCTCAAGAGAAAGTTTTCTAACCCAATCCGGCGTCTCTCCACAAAATCCGGATCCATGTTGTCTGCAGAGAGCTTATGCCACACGAATTCTGCCTAGGTACACAAAACAACCATTAGAAGAGCCTCAGTGCTAAATTCTTGTGAACTGCTGCATTTCACTTCTTACCCGTTTCTCTGGGAGAGGTGGCACAACAATATGTGGGTAGTAAACTAACAGGTAGTTTCTCAGCAGCTCAAATTCACTGTATCGCCTCCACAGCGAGTCTGTTAGGACGCTCTGGCCATCAGAATGTTCAACAGACCTGAAAAGAAAGAGAATACTTGTATGATTTTTTACAAATAAAAATACATACACATAAGTACACTCTCCCTAAAGGCATATAACTCTTATTACCGAATGCTCATGAACCAGGCGCTGAGTAAAGAACTCGCTGCATGTCTTCTTACAGCAGACCTGTGAAGCAGGGATCTTTCGCCCCCGCTTTACAAGTGAGGTGGCGGCTACACGGACCATCTATGCCCATCATCACACTGATCTGTGGGCAGAGCGCTCAGACCCATCTGACCACAATGTTCTCCCTTCTAACAACTTTCCCTCTGTTATAGAAAGCCTATTTGAATCAAGAGAAATAACTGTTACGAAAACCTTAAAAGCGTCAATGTATGAGATATTATACACACTGGTAAATATTACACATTGGTAAATACCAAATTTTTTTTCAGAGATTTTTTGCTATAAGGCGTTCCTCTGCTTCATTAAATAAAAAGTTTTTTCTTGTTTTAAATCACTGGTAAATATTACACATTGGTAAATACCAAAATATATACTGGTAAATGATAAGATAAAATCTGGCTAATGCTTCATTAAATAAAAAGTTTTTTCTTGTTTTAAATCTTTTTTTTTTTGGAGAGGTTTTTGCTATAGGGTGCATGCGCTCGCCAGACAGACAGAGACAGACATAGAGACAGAAAGCGAGAAATCACCCCCCAGGGGGGATGGTCACACCGCAATCCCTTCTCTTCCGTTCTCCTCTCAGGATCTTGGGCACGCACGCACACGCGCCTGG